ATCACAACAGACTCATCCGTTCTGACCGGTCTCCCTTCGGTTTCGAAGCGCATCTTTCCGTCAGGATGGAGAATCTGTAGATATAATGTGAATCAACAGATAACGCACTACGCGATGGGCCTACCTGCCAGCGCGTATTGCCTGCTGCCTCCTCTACGGCGCCGACCTCCTGTTTACGACTGCACTTGGAAGCCGCCAACGCAGACACCATTTCGCTATACAGATAACAATCCCTGAACATAAGCCCAATGTGAAAAAATATGCATATGGTCAAGGTGCATATATGTAGGTGACAATATGAAAATTCCGAGAAAATTTTGGGAAGTTCTCATTGATTCCTATACATTTCTACCCGCATTCGTATGCAAACTGCTATAATAAGTGGGAAAACTCTTAAGCTCAACTGAGAAAAGGGAACATATATTCTAACACTGCATAAGCCCATCATGAAGTGAGCGTGAGCCGTATGCCCTCCAGCTTACCTGTCCGGGACGAAACCGGAGAGAACCAATCTCACCTCGTCGCCGTAGCATACGGGAGCATCGGGGCTAGCGTTCACAACCTCAACGGCGAACACATTGCGAATGCATGGGATGGGATTGGACCCTACATCGATATCACGCGGAATCAGATGAGAAACAACATACCAGTAGTGACTGCATATGCAGCTCCCTTTCTGCCTGGTATTAAGTCCTCAGCATTGGCGTTGAGGAATCCCTCCGTTGCAGCATTCCGCAGCATAACAGTGTCGCCTGCACGATACAAACCATTCGGAAGACACATCAATACGACAATAGTTCTGCGTGACGGACCGCCTTACCGTTCCGTAGAATGCCGTCGTTCCCTTTGAATTTCGCCACCGAGGGTTGTAGCGCTCGCTCCAGCATGAGCTGCTTCGATATGACCAGCAGATCACCACTATCCTTCTTCGAGACATATCTAATGGGTATTTCGAGGCGGGGGGGGCTCCTCTGGCCCTCTTACTCCTTCATCCTGAGCTCATTTAGTTCGACCTCCTCGCACCAATTACCGATGCGACAAGTGGGCTTGTAGCGAGCGCCACCGCGGAGCTGCTGAGTGGTGAATTGCATCACTGCAGTGAACTGAAAGGTACAGAGAAAGATAGAGACCTCCAATGTGGGATAGCGAGCCTGGCCCAAGTGAACAGGAACAAACGACCATCGCAGAGAAGGATGCCGTTGACGACTGCTGACAAAATAGTCTTCCGAGCAACAAGACACAATTGGCAGGAGCAAACTGAGAGCTACAGTCATGACGACGTAGTTCTACTATGATGTGTATGTTATGAGGAGACTCGTCGTGAAGGCCTCATGAATGATCAACCACCACGGCCGACAGACATCACAGTATCTGCTATGTCGCTCAATCCTCTTGCATAGGCATGTACTCCCTCAGACTTTCAGACACCCCTCTGTGGCATCCAATGCATCGGTTGCACTGTCCAGTGACACTGATCGTGTACATCCCCAGGACCACGGACACGACTAGCCTTATGGACCAGGGAATAGGCTGAAGCATAGCAGCTGCAGTGAACGCCATTGACCTATCGTGAGTTGGGATATCTAGGTAGGACCTAAAAGTGTTGAAATTCACGAGGCATGAAAAAGTATACACTGAGAATCACTTCGCGCTCGACTCGGCGGGATCGTCATCCT